ACCACAAAGAACACAAAGAAAAACAAGTAGATAGAATAGACAAAATAGAAAGCTAGTGTTTGTTTGTTTTTTTAAATAAAAAAAAATTAAAATTAAAAAAAAGAAGATAAATATAGATAAAGTAGAATTAAAATAGAATAGAAAGTGTTAAGAGTTAGAGGGTCAAATAAAGGTGGAACAGATGTGTTTTTAGTGGTTTCTTGAAGATGGCTAAGGACTCAGCTGCTGGGATTGATTTGGGCAGGTCATTCCACCAGGAGGGAACAGTTAATGAAAAAGTCCGTGAAAGTGATTTTGTGCCTCTTTGAGATGGATAACATCTCACAAGATAACACTAACTCTAGTCTGTCCATTTCAAAACTTTGTTTAATTTAATGTTATTTGGTGCTTATTTGAATTATTTGTGACATACTAGCAATTATTTAGCAAATTATATATGTAAAAAATAAATAAACAAACAAACAAACTTTCATTACTGTAATATACATAAGTGTTTGACTGGACAATTTTGGAACATTAGAATTGTTTTTAACTCCAATTATTCTCAATGAAAAAAAAGTTTTTAGAAATTACTAGCACAAATAAAATTAAATTAAATTTAAAAAGCTTGTTTTTGGGACCATTACATTTTTTTTCATACAAATTCAACTTGTTTTCTCCTCAAATCCTCCCTATTGCCATGCAATGAAACAAACAAACAAACATTTTCATTTCTGTGATATGCATGCACGTTTTACTGGATTTTTTTTTGTTTGTTTTTGGGGAATAATAGAAATGTTCGTAATTCCAATTTCTCTTTAAAAAATCTGTATAAAGTAAATTCTAAATATTAATAATCATTAGATGTTAGATGTTTAAATGAAGAACCAACATGATCTCAAAAGCTTCTTCTAAAACCTGAAATAAGATAAACAAATTAAAATAAAGGTTTTAAAGTAAATCTCAGACTATTTTATTTTCAGTCTCTCCATCATTCTGTGTGCAACCTTGTCTCAAAATTTTCTTTAAAAATAAATTTAAAAATTAATAAATTATTTTAAAGCATTAAAATTGAAGCTTTTGGGGGACCTTACATTTTTTATACAAATGTAATGCTTCTATCTCGGCCAAATATTGTCCTATCATAACAAACCATACATCAACGGAAAGCTTATTTATTCAGCTTCCAGCTGATGTATAAATCTCAATTTTGAAAAATTGACCCTTATGACTGGTTTTGTGCTCCAGGGTCACATATATACTCCGCTGTGTCAGTCACATAAGCTTATTATGTTATGCATTTTTAATCAAATTTTGTGCACAAAAAGGTCTGAACTTTTGATAGTCTCACCAAAATAAGTCAAGAAAGAGATTGTGGTTGATATTCAGTTCATTTAATAAGGAAACGGAAGTCGAGCTGCACTGTGACACAGTATTCATCACTATACTCTGTTGCATAATGCACACAACTGTAACACATCATCCAGGAACCTTATGCATTCAGAAAAACCATATACTATGCACAATAATCATGCTGCAAAAATTAAAACAGTAAGGTAGGATGCTATTCCACTTTTCAGGGAGTTTCACCCGAGTTCACCTTTCACTTTAACATCTGGTTTCCTTTTACATTGTCTTTTGTGCTCAGAATGCAAGAAAAGCTAAAACCATTCACAATCCAACCCCTTCATTAGACCTCAGAACTGAGCTTTATAAACAAATCTTCATTCATGTCTTATAAAGATTCAAGTTCAGCGAGTTTGAACTGATTTGCTGGTAAATTGGGTCACTGTCGCCGCATGAATCGCACTGATTTTACAGCCGCTTTCTCTGCTTCAATACAGTCTGAGGTCCACCACTGCTCTATATATCATTCATACAGGAAAATATAATGTATAGGTTTGATGAGGAGAAAGAGAGCGCGGTCAGTCGGTTTAAACTCTGACTGATGGTGCTGTGACTAAACTGTAATCCCATTAACAAACTGATGTTTTAATGCTTTTGAGGAACTGGGTCTGAGAATAAGCGAGAACCAGTAGCCTACTTAAAGTCTGACAGTCGGCCGAACGGCTCGTTTAGATTTAACCAGCTACACCGCTTATTACACGCAGCCATGTTCGGCTGAATTAGAGCTCCTGTACTTTGACTTTTCACATCATTAAAGTAGGTTCTGTCTCTTTACAGTGCTTTAAGTTACTTGAGCGCAGAGTCGCTCATCCGAGAGCACCGGCGTGCAGAAATGAACAGGATTTGTGCCAGTGGCTTATTAGCTGGAGTAATACTTTCACAGTTTAATATCTGCCAACCTCAGCAGTGACCAGAAACATCACAGTTCAACTGCAAGTCCAAATTGAAAGAAAAAAAGTGTTTCTGAAATAGTTCACATAGATGCAAATGTTGATTTCGGAGTAGTTCTTTAGCTTTTATTTCATGCTAAATCATTTAGAATTGAAAATGGATAGCGCTTACTGTTTAATACACAATTTTTGGGTTTTTGAAAGAAGTCTCTTCTGCTCACCAAACTTGCAATTATTTGATCAAAAACACAGTAAAAACTGTAATATTGTGAAATATCTTTATGATTACAAATAACTGTTTTCTATTTGAAAAAATTAAAAAATGTTATTTTTTATTTCTGTGATCAAAGCTGAATTTTCAGCATCATTACTCCAGTCTTCAGTGTCACATGATTCTTCAGAAATCATTCTAATATGCTGATTTGCTGCTCAAGGAACATTTCTGATTATTATCAATGTTGAAAACAGTTATGCTGTTTAATATCATTGTGGAAACTGTGAAACGTTTTATTTTTTCAGGATTCTTTGTTGAACTGAAAGTTCAAAAGAATAGAATTTATTAGAAATCTAAATCTTCTGTCACATTAAAAATGCCTTTACTGTCACTTTTGATCAATTTAATGTATCCTTGTTCAATAAAAGTATTACATCCTTTAAAAAAAATACTGTACTTTACAAGTCAGAAACTACTGCTGTGTCCCATCAATGATGTATAAGGAAACAAAATGGTAACAAGTCAAACTTGACGATGTTTAAATGTCAAACAAAGAAGTCTTTTAGTAACCAAACTTCAGAGTTTAAACAATGCAACAATGATCAACAAGATAATTTACCGTGTTTTACACCCCTGACACTACAATGTTTGCTATGTATGTTTGCTAAAGTGGTTTTAACTGACTCGTTGATGCATCTTGTTTGCTAAAAACTCAATGTTTATCATTAACTGTGTACAGTTCCCAGTTTATCCATAATGCAAAAAAAAAAACAAAAAAAACTAGTTTTGCTGTTCCAGTTTGAAAGATAATTATTTAATAAGATAGCACTGAATTTGCTTAAGAAAATAAATTTTTCAACTTTTAGCTGAACAAACAATGCTTTCACGTCTGCAGGGAGTGGCATCTGATGCCATAATGCTAACCTGTCATCTTTTCATCATATTACAAAACAGATCAATCCATAAACAGTGTGCAAAACTCTCTTCTATTACTCAGGAGTTTTAACATTTTCATTCTGACCGCTTAACTTTTAATTACATATGCAATGCAAGTTGTGCTAGTTCTTTAGTTTGCGTTTTCTAGGCCAGTTCTCATCACACGTCTAACCTAATTTGTCTGCACTAATCAGTAAAAGTGTAGAAGGACAAGCGCTCTGTCAGGCCGAGACTTCCAGCACTCAACTTTCAGCTATTCAGAGATGGTCTCCATATCACACGCTATGAATTATTTATATATGCAAATGCAGAGCTTCAACATGCATAGCTACACTAAAGCCCTCCCAACCTCACCGCCGTTTACAATAACAAACAAATATCAGTTTTCTCATGCACTGACATTTCTGACTCTTTTTCATAAGATCCAAATGTTTTGACGTTGTGGTCCTGAGCGAGTCTTTGGCTACGGATGAAATGTTGGTCATAGAGTGTTTTGCATGTGAAAAATGATAGCGCCCCACCGCTGAGATCTCTGTTTCAGGCGGATGCTATTGACTTACTGTGTGTCCGCTTCACTGGCTACAACAAATGAAGCTGGAGGGATGCACAGCAGTCTGATGTTTGCTGATAAGGGAAGACATGAGACTCTGGCTCGGGGTTCATTCAATATCTCTGACTTCTGTTCTCAACTCTGAGCTAGTCCTGTCCTGTCTCCTAAGAAATACAAAAAAAAAAAAAAAACACTTCAAAATTGGTGAGCGACAGATGGCAGGCGGCACATTTAAACCCTGCTAAATATTAACTAGTAGCTGCTGTTCGGTGTACGACTTTGTATGCAAACAGCAGCATGTCAGACCTAATGTTTGATTAAGTATCAGGTGTTTGCAGTTTGCAATGCTTAAAGGAATAGTTCACCCAAAAATGGATGCTCTGCAGTGAATGGGTGCCGTCAGAATGAGAGTCCAAACAGCTGATAAAAACATCACAATAATCCACAAGTAAACCACACCACTCCAGTCCATCAGTTAACATCTGGAGAAGACAAAAGCTGCGTGTTTGTAAGAAACAAATCCATCAAGAAATTTTTTACTTAAAACTTAAAGTCCATAATAACGCTTCCTCTAGTGAAAAAGTCCATCTCCTGTTGTCGCTCATATCAAAAACCCACATATTTGTTTAGAGCTGTTTTAGACTGTTTTCGTTTGTAAACTGTGCTTGATCTGTGCAGATTTCTCTCCTGATTCAGACTAGACCACTTTTTCACTGGAGGAAGTGTTATTAGATTGTGGACTCATATTTTAGTTGGAAGCAACTGTTTGATGTTAAAAACGTCTTAAATATGGATTTGTTTCTTATAAACACACAGCTTTTCACTTCTCCAGATGTTAACTGATGGACTGGAGTGCTGTGAATTACTGTGATGTTTTTATCAGCTGTTTGGACTCTCATTCTGACGGCACCCATTCACTGCAGAGCATCCATTGCTGAGCAAGTGATTTCTCCAAATCTGATGTAGAAACAAACTCAATTTCATCTCAGATGGCCTGAGTATGAGGACATTTTCAGCAAATTTTCACTTTTAGGTGAACTATTCCTTTCAAGTATAGACACTTTTTTGTAAACGTTCGGGGGTTCAGACACACTCTCTCTGTTTAAATCTAGATTAAAGACACATCTCTTCAGCCAAGCATTCACACAATGTATCTCATAACCTTGTACCTCAGTTATATCTGATCAAATGCACATTATCATTCTTTTGCGTAGATTAAACACATTATTTTTTGCTTGGTTGGAACAGCAGCTACGTTCATTTTTCTCTATTTGTTTCTCTGTTTCTGCCACGGGATTGGCATCCTGAGGTAACTAGGAATTACACAAGCTTCAGTCTGGATCCAGAACACCTGAGACGAGATGATGCCAACACTGAACCAACATACAAAACTACCAAATTTTGCTACAAGTTTGATCGCAGCATATAATCATTGCTGTTGATAGTGTTCACCGTCTGTTTGAATACGTCATTAACTAACTGCTTGATTTTTACTGTACATTTCTGCCGTATGGACATCACCTTGAGATAGTCACCACTGATAAGCTACTCCTAAATATAATGTAGAAACTTTAATTTTCTGTGAAGCTGCTTTGCAAAGATTTGTATCATGAAAAGTGCTAAACAAATAAACATGAATAGAATTGAACTTTTCAATGTTAAAATACTTTCTCGTATGATAACGAAGCAATTCGTAGTGGAAACAAGCACTGGACTTGAGCGAACAAATGTGTATAAATCATTCATACAGCAAATTGAATGTGGCAGCTTCATTTAGGAACAATTCACACAATAGACATTATGTTTGTGTTTTAAGACAAAAGGCTCGTTTCCCCCCCCAAGGACAATAATTATAACAATAAAGTTTTAAAACTGATAAACGATAAAAACTTTGACATCCAATCATAATCTACTCTATACCAAAGAGCTCGAGCATTTAAAGGGATAGTTCACCCAATAATGAAAATTCTGTCATGAATTACTCACCCTCATGTCGTTCCAAACCCGTAAGACCTTCGTTCATCTTCGGAACACAAATTAAGATATTTTTGATGCATTCCGAGAGCTCTCTGACCCTCCCATAGACAGCAAGGGTCTTTACACGGTCAAGGCCCAGAAACGTAGGACATCGGTAAAATAATCCATGTGACATCAGGGGTTCTACCGTAATTTAACGAAGCTACGAGAATACTTTTTGTGCGCAAAAGAAAACAAAAATAACTGCTTTATTCAACAATTCGTCTCCTCCGCATCACCCTGGTGCCATTTTGGAGAATATCCACTGAACGTAAACAACGTATGCTGTTCTGTGTCAGCCGCACCACACAGACACGTTGCTTACGTTCAGATCAAAACGTAAACAATGTAGAAAACGTATCCGCGTGACACAGCTGACACAGAACAGCATATGTTGTTTAATTAAAGAATATTAATGACAGAATTTTCATTTTTGGGTGAACTAACCCTTTAATGCAACAAGCAACAAAAACGCAGCATGCACGCTTAAATTAAACAATGATATCGTGTGTTTGTGCGGACGCTAATATCTTCATCGTTATATTTGTCGTTCTTGGTGTGTGAACAGGTCTTAAAGGGACAGTTCACCAAAAATTTTAATTCTGTCACCATTTACTCACCTTCAAGTTGTTCCAAATCTGCATGAGTTTATTTTTTCTGTTGCACACAAAAGAAGATATTTTGAAGAATGCTTGTAACCAAATAGCTGATGGTAGCCATTGACTTCCATAGTATGGAGAGAGAAAAAAAACAATGGCTAGCGTCAACTGTTTAGTAAAAGAATTTACATTTTTGGGTGAACATTATTTTGCTTTAAATACTGCCAACAAATTCAAAGTATCAACTGCAAAAAAAGAAAAAAGAAAAAGAAAACAAACAAATGACGCATTGAATTTTGAACAAAAGAGCGTAGCGCTTTTATAATTATTAATATCAAGTCCTTTACAAATAGTCACCGTGTACAGCAGCCGTTTGCATGGCAAGTTTCACAGAGTCCAGAATTCATCAATGCAACGTGTGCTACAAGCCCTTACGGATCCGTCTCCCATGCCGAGACAGGGATCAGATATTTCTGAGATATGTTCTTTCATCTCCTCCACTAGAGATCAAATCAATACTTTTTTTTAATTTGAAAAAAACATCTTTGAGATCAAACACAAATGTATCAGATACTGTTTTGTCGTCTCCTTTTAACTCGCATGAAACCGTGCATATGGAGCGCCGCAAGTACCTCACACAGATTCACTCAGCCATGTAACTGAAGCATTGTCATGTGACAGCGCATCACTTTTATGAATGCTTATTTAATGAATCTCACGACATCTCATGTCCAGGTCACATTTCACCCCAAAATCAAAAATTGAAAAAATTGCATAAAGAAAAGGAAGCCTGTTTAAGGATCATTCAGATATTTTGCATTGTGACATTTTCATGATGATTATGCACATTTTCTAAATTACTTTTGTGTTCTGTGTGATTTAAACAACCGTTATATTTTTACTGTATTGCATTAGAAAAATACTGAAATTTTATTTAAATAAAAATAAAGAAAATATTACGGTCATAAAAATATTTTACATTTATAACAGTAACAATAATTATTAATTCCAATCTTTAATTATTAAGCCCTAATAATGTCACAACGCAAATTATTATTTCTTATTCTTCTATTTTGGGGTGAAATATTCCGATATTAGCATGTCCTATATATTTAGCTGTTAATAATGATGCTTCTGAAAAGGTTCGACAAACTGCATGTAATTTTCTCCAATTAGTCGTTTACTAGTGGATAACGAGATGATAATTACCTGCATGGGCAGAGAACATCATGTTGCATTTATATTGATCTACAGAAACTACACAATGCTAGACGGGGCCTATTAGCAGAAGAGTAACAGCCGTAAACCTGATCTAGTTCTGACTAAGTGTGTTGATTTACCAAAAAAAAAAA